AAAACTAGCTTTTAGTTGACCCTCCAACAGGTTTCTGAGGCTTTAAATTGCAGGGGATAAGACTGTCCATCTTTGTCCTGTGGAGTCGCTGGTAGATTCACATTGCCGGAGAGGGGCAGCCTTTGGGTTAGGAGCCAACTCCCTGGGGACTCTGGAGCCAGAGTTCTCTCTCTAGTATTTAATGGCATTTAAACTGTGTCACTTGCCTCCAGAAACTTTATGAACTTAGAGAAAAGATGAAAGTTTTACGTGTTCAAGACTCTAGTTCATAGGGTTGCTATGAGTAGTCTATAACTCAACAGCACTTAACAACAACAACAAAGTGTGTCAAGCCCTTCTGTAAATCTTTGAGACGTATGCAATTATTTAATATTTACAACAACTCTGTTGCATAGGTAGAATCCCAGTACAATCCAGTTACCTGGATGATCAGGCACAAGGAGGTAACTTGGCCAAGGCCACACAGCTAGAAGACCCAGAGCTGGACACAGGCAGCCCAGACCCTGGACCCATACCCACATCACCTCAGCTCCTGTGTTCTGTTTGAACTCAAAGTCCATGTTCAACTAAAACTAGATCTTAAGTATAATAATTTGTTTTCTTGAGAACTGCTTTATTGTTATGTAGAACTATATAATTATTATCTTTTCCTTTTTTAAGTTCTAAAGATGAGAAGGAAAATGCCAGCGTAGAATGCTGGGAGTTTCTTTTCTTTGTTCTATTACTTTCACATTACATTTCAAGAAAGTAATTAGAAATTGAAGTAGTTCAAGTCCTAGGAAATTTCCTCTGTGATATTTAGGCCATTGTAATATATCAGTCTAGCAAATAAGAGAGAAAACAGAATAAAAGCTTTATATTATCTGTATAAGAATTACTCCACCCCACTGTCAGTTTGTTGACAGTGGTAGCTTATGTGTCCCTATGACACTGGAGGATACGCTACCAATATTTCAAATACTGGCTGAGTTAACCATAGTTGACAGGTTTCCGTGGACAGTCCAGAGTAAGGAGGACTTTTCATTTGACTTGTTAAAAAAAAAATTGGACAGTGAGAACTTTATGACTGGCAGCAGAACATTGTCTTATATAGTCAGAAAAAAAGAACCCCTCAGATTAGAAGGGATTCAGAATATGACTGGGGAGAGCTGCCTCCTTAAAACAGAGGCAATGGTAATGACATGCTGGAGTCAAACTTTCAAGACCTTTATTTACTGATGTAGTACCGCTCAAAATAGGAAGGAATAGCTGCAAACATCCACTAGTAATTGCAACCTGGAATGTATAAATTATGAGTCTAGGAAAATTGGAAGTGTTCAAAAATTAACTGGAATTCATGAAGATTAATATCCTAGGCTTTAGTAAGCTGAAATAGACTGATTTTGGCCATTTTGAAGCAGGCAAACATAAAGTTTACTGTTCTGAGTGATAAATTTAAAAGAAAGGTAGGTAGTTGCATTCTTTGTTAAAAAAATTGAAGATCTATTTTCAAATAGTACACTGTTGGTCATTGGGTGCTAATATTCATATAGTTACAAGGAGGAAGTTTTTCAAATGAATGCACTGATGCAAAAAACAAACAAAAAAATTTTTACCAACTTTTCCAGTCTGAAACTGATCAGCTATGTAATCAAGATGCATTGAAAATTCTAGTGATTAGATACAAAAGTTGGAAAGAAAAGAAAGATCAGTTAGAAAATACAGCCTTAGTGAGAAAAATTATGTGGGAGATTTCATTATGTAATATTGCAAGACAAACAACTAAACATTCATTGCAAACAATTCTTTTCAACAACATAAACAGTGATTCTGCACATAGTTCTCTTCAGAATAATATATATGCATGGGAAAAGATGATGGAGAAGCTCAGTATCATTAGTCAGAGTAGGACTAGGGGGATGTCTGTGGAACATGCTATCAATTGCTCGTATGTAAGCTCAATTTGAAGCTGAAAAAATTGAAAATAAATTCTTGAGAGCCAAAGGATAACCTTGAGTATATCGCACCTGAATTTAGAGATCAGTTTAAGAATATATTTAGGGGGAAGGGATTGTATAACAATGACAGAATTTTTCTTCTACTTTTCAAAATGAAGGCTGCATAGTGGAGTGGACTTGGGGGGAGGAATTGTAAAACAGTGAAAGAATTTTTCTTCTACTTTTCAAAGAGAAGAGCGATCTGGGGGGAGGGGTGGGCAGGGAGAAAAGTGCAGCAATGAATGAATGGAAATCCAAAGTCTCTGTAAACGTTCACTGAAATTAATTTTAATTGAAGAACAATGACTAGAGAACATCAAAGACAGCATACATGAAGAAAGAAAATGGTCATTAAAAAGATAGGAAAGAGAGAAAAATCAAAACGGATGTTGGAAGAGATTCTGAAATTTGCTCTTGAATATAGAATAGCTAAAGTGAATGGAAGAAAATGTTGAAGTAAAAGAGCTGAACAAAGGGAGCTCTGGTGGCCTAGTGGAAAGAAGCTGTGCTGCAATCCCAAAGGCACATGGTTTGAATCCACCAGATGCTTAGCTGGATAAGGAGGGGCAATCTCCTCCTGTGGCAGCTGGATCTGATTCAACTGTACACAAAAAAGAGAGAGCGAAAAAAAGAGCTGAACAGAAAATTTCAAATAGTGGTTCAAAAAATAAAGTATTATAATGAGGTGTACACAGTTAGTAAACCAAGAAGATGAAACTGGACATTTCCCAAACTCAAAGAACTGAAGGAAAATTGAGGATGGATGAGGGGGGCAGGTGATAATGATAGGGTCGCACAATTTGATGAGTGGAGGTAGGTGTGGGTGAAGGAAATGGGAAAGATCCAGTGTAAAAAACTATATGAGCCTTGTAAATAATTCAGTATAAAAAAATTTTTTAAATAAAAAATACTGTAAAATGGGGGGGGAGAAGCTTAAAGGAATAAACAGATTACAGTGGAAAAAATATCTGGCTGATGTTTAACCATTTCAGGAGGCAGAATATGATCAACAATCAGTGGTACTGATGCTCTGAAGGCATTTGCAAAAAAACAGGGTACCCAGTATTGACAGAATAGCAATTCAGATATTTCAACAAATTGATATAACACTGAAAGCATGTATCATCTATGCCAGGGAATTTGGAAGACAGCTACCTGGTCAACAGACTGGAGAAGATCCATATTTGTGCTCATTCCAAATAAAGATGATACAACAAACTGAAAAAAATTAATAATATTATTAGCATCATTGTTGTTGTTTTTGTTATGTGCTGTTGAGTCGCTTGCGATTCATAGAGACCCTATGTACAACAACCCTAAACTCTGCTCTGTTCTGTGCCTTTCGCACTGTCTCCGATACACCCATCCCGATTACTCCAGTCACTGAATCAATCCACCTCATAGAGGGCCTTCCCCTCCTGCGCTGTCCCTCCACCCTATCAAGCATGATGTCACTCTCCAAGACCGGTCCGTTCTTACAACACGTCCAAAGTATGTTAGAGCCTCAGAATCCTTGCTTCCAGGGAGCTGCCCAGTTTAACCCTTTCCAGGATGAATCTGTTTGTTTTCTTAGCAGTCCATGGTACCCGCAATACTCTTCTCCAGCACCACAACTCAAAAGCATTAATTCTCCTTCTATCCTCCTTAGTCATTATCCAACTCTCTGACGCATAACAAGTGATTGCAAAGACCATGGTCTGTATCAGACGCACCTTAGTCTCCAGAGAGACACCATTGCTCTTCAGTACTTTGGAGAGGTCCCTAACAGCAGACTTTCCCATGGAAATATGTCTTTTAATTTCCTGGCTACTAGTGCCCAGAATGTTGACTGTGGAGTCAAGCAAACTAAAGCTGTGAACAATCTCAATGTCTTCACCATCCATTCTGATGCTGCCAATTGGTCTAGTGGTGAGAATCTTTGTCTTCTTGACATTGAGCCTCAATCATACATAAGTAAAAATATGCTAAAGATAGCTGCAGAAATGCATATAAATAAGCTGCCACATATTCAGTCAGACCCACAGGAGGACACTTGAATGAGAAATGCCTTGCTGATCTCAGAAAGCTCTTGGCAGAAACACAGAATACCAGAAATGTTTACATGTAGTTTACTAATAATACAAAGGCATTCAACTGTGTAGATCATAACAAACTGTGGATAACATTGTGGAGAACAGAGATTCCAGAACTCTTAATTTTGTTATTGTGGAACCTGGACATAGTTTTATAAAGGTGCTCTTTTTTTTTCTTTCTTTCTTTCTTATTTTCTCACATTTTTACAAACTGTTCATAAAATTTCTTTAAATACCACTCAGGACATACCTACTTACTTTTTTCTTATTTTGTCTAAGACAACATTTCTGGACTGTGAGAACACAAGACAAAGGATGGTTCTTCCCATTTATCCTTCTGTAGAGAATATAATGCATGGAGCCGCGCATGACTTTACTGTAAATACTGAGAAAGTCACATTCAGAACACACCTCATTCTGGCAGAACTCTGCGTTGACTGACTTTTACTACCTCAAGCATATTTCCATGTGTTTTAAATAGCCTGTAACCGAGCATATAAATAGATATTGGGCACAGATGGGCCTCGTTAAGTGTGTTTTTGACCAGCTTGTAAAAGCTTATATGTAACCTTAGATCATCTGTGTGAAATAACATGTAATTTGGCATTTTTGTTTTAAAGATTCCCTCAGTGCTATAAATAAATACCAGTAAAAACAAAGATAATTAATACCACTGAGAAGTGTTGGTTTGCTCTCTGCACTGGGCTCCAGTTCCCTCCTGGGAATTACATGTATTTCATATCAGACCATCAGTGCCCCCTCCCCTGCCTCTGAGCCTGAGAATACATGTTTGTGCTTCAGGGCCAAATGTTTCTCTGAAGAGAGGAATAGCACATGTGGATCTCATGCCATGGGAAGGCCTATGAGACGTTACGGCAAACACCTTCCAAAAGAGACAAAGATTGCATTAGATGAGAGCAAACACTAATGATGTTTTCTTTGATTTCCACAGTGGGAGCGCCATAAAGTACACAGATAGGGTTAAGACTGGGGTCACAGGGGAGCAGATCTGGCTGCAAATCAACGAGCCCACCCCCAATGACAAAGGCAAGTACGTCATGGAGCTCTTCGATGGCCAAACTGGACACCATAAGACAGTGGATCTTTCTGGACAAGGTAAGTGATGTTCTGGCAGGTTAGAACTTTACAGAAAGTGAATTTTAAGAAGTATAAAGAGTGAACGGAAGCTGTTACATTTGACATGTGAACAATCACTGGTGATTTTGATGAGGCAATATTAAGGCAGGCTTCAGAAGCTAGAGGATCCGTGGAAAAGAAAAGGAGACAGGAAGTATAAGTCCCTCCTTCATGAAGGTGATTACAAACAAGGGTAGATGGATATACCATCACCAGCTAATATCCCATGGTCTGCCAAAATACAAACAAGTATTTTTCGGAGAAATTACAACCAGCATGCTCCTTAGAAGCAAGAATCATGACGCTTTATCTCACATAGTTGGGGCATATTGTTAGAAGGGGCCAGTCTTTGGAAAGTGTGGAGGGACAGTGAAAGAGAAGAAGGCCCTCGACAAGATGGACTGGCACGGTGACAACAACAATGAGCTTGTGTCTATACGAGATGATGAAAAAAGACACAGGATAGGGCAGGGTTCAGATCCATTGCTCATAGGGCCACTGTGAGTCATACTTGATGTCATCTAACAACAACAGTGAAGCAGTATTTTTCTCTAATGTCTAAATATTGAAAAATAATATTTCTTGAGGTGAATGAAATTTGAGCATCTTCATAGAGTTCAAGAAGTCTGATGAAAAAAAAAAAAGAAGTCTGATGAGTTGTTGGAAGGACAGGTGATATAAATGAAGAGAACTAATTGGGCATCAAAGTTCCAGAGAATAGAAGATTTGAGATCAAGAGCAGAGGGGTAAGGATTGATTCTGGAGAGAAGCATGGATACTTCTTCAGTACCTCTCTCTTCCCCAATGTTGTAGTCATGGTGGAACAGACAGACCCGTAGCTGACCTTCTAGCAGGTTTTCAGAGGCTCAAAATTGTACCAAAGGACAGCACAGAACAACAACAACAAACAACTATGCTAGAGGGTCCATGAATGAGAAAAAGACCATCAATAAAATGGATTGATATATTAATTGTATCAGTGAGCATAAGCATGTGGAGAGCATGCGGATGGTACAGGAGAGGGTAGGGTTCAGATCGGCCAACAGCACCCAACAGCACCAACAAGCGAAGTTACTAAGGGAGGTGACAGACTTTTCCCTCAATATATTCTTAAATCAAAATGCAGTCTAAAAAAAATACACCAAAATACAATCTAAATTGTATAACTTTAAATTGTCAATTCTTTTGTAATTTACAATCCTCAGAAAATATGTTCCTAATTTTAAGAGCATCCTTTCAACCCTGGATTCACTTGTTTTTGCCGAGTCTCCTAACCCTCACCGATTATGCCTGGACAGACCTTCAACAGTTACCCAGGTCACCTCACCACTCCAGAGGGATGCTGGCTCTCCAGTTATCACATACGCCCACTGACTGGGCTTTCTTTTGCAGTCCGCCTGACCATTCAAAATGCAATAGAAAAAGACAGCTGGGTAAATGCGGCTCAGGTCCATCTAAGCTTATTTAACTCTCACATCATTCTTAAGCTGAGGGCTCCCTTCCCCATGTCTCTTCTGAGGCTGAGGGGCCCTGCTGTGCACACCCCTCACCCAGTGCAGTGGGTGGGAAAGGAGAGCCCCAGGCTTTAGCTTAGTTGGCACTGACCAATGCAGGCCATCCTCACAAAGGAGAAAAGAACCAGAGGCTTTAACTCTGACTTTACATTTACATGTCTCATCAAATGACAGTGATAGCCTCATATTATCTGTGTATTTTCTGGACATAAAAGGCTATGTGTCCTAGAAAAAAAGAAAGCCTAAAAATAGATGAGAGCTCTAATGTCAAGCCAGCAGTGTTAACTGTAACGTGAAGTCCTCAGTTAAAGTGATGTACTTTGCAGGCTAAGGAAAAGCAAATTTTCGAGACTCCGTAGCTTGAATTTCTGTAACTCACTCGTCTGTCTCTTGGCTCATCTCCATCATCCCCCTGGCTCCCAGCAGGTGCTGGCATGCCTGAGGTTAGAGTAACTCGGTGCCCTTTCACCTCAATACACAGGCAGACGACGATGACGTGGCTGGAGACTCCCCCCACACACACACACCCCGATAATTTAATGAAAGAAAAACTTGTTTGCTGACCACACTGCTTGTTAGACAGTTATTTGGGAGAGATTTTTAATTTCCTCTTGATAAACTAAAGGCCCCTGAAATCTACTGTTTTGTAATTTCTTCCCAGAAAGCATTTGTTCCTCTTGCTAAATAGGCATAGTCTGTCTGGAACCCATCACAGATGTGAATTATAACCGGCCCCTCTTTGTTCTCGATTCTATGGGAGGAAACCCTAACTTGTCTTTCCCCCCCCCCCCTTCTTCTTCTTTTAAAGCATATGATGAAGCCTATGCTGAATTCCAGAGGTTGAAGTAAGTGCTTTTCCTAGCAAACACCACTTAAATGTTCTGGCTTTGCTGGAACATAATGTTCTCCTTAATCTGAGAGTTGAGAGAGAGCCTCTGAGTCCTCCAGGGATGCTCAAGGCCACTTTCCTCTGTTGTAATGAGTGGCAAGATGTTTGTGAGGCAAAGAAATGTGGTCAAGGTTAATTACTTTGAACTAACTTGAAATTCTTTTTTGTCTGTTTCTCTTAACCACAGACAAGCTGCCATTGCAGAGAAAAGTAAGTATTTCCCTTTATGCTGCATACTTTCCTAATGTTTTTCTTTGAGATGAAGACAACAGGTGGAGAAAAGTTAAGAGTACTTTTTCTTTTGTTTCTATTTTCAAAACAATAGGTGTTCTACACGTGTTTTCATTTAGTCTCTTGAGTAAGAATGCCTATGAAAAGAAGGTCTCAGGTTACGTTTTAAGGGTGTCACCTAGCTCTTGACCCAGCTTACAAGCAGACATCCTGGCTGGAGATCACATAATAGGTTGTCATCACTTGCTGGCAGTGTGGCAGGGGGGGAAAAAAGTATATTGCATTAAAAAAAAAGACCGAGAAATGTAAATTTGACATGAGGTGAATTATTAGTAACTTGTCTCCCAATACTGTGCCCTCATGTCCGTGGAGGGAAAAGACATACAGTAAGATTGTTACTTTTGTTCTAAAATTTTTTAATTACAATTTGAGTGAATGTTTGCAAAGCCTATTGATTTTTCATTCAGGCATTCACACCCATTCTAACATTGGTTACAATGCCCACAATGTCTGATCATCTCCTTATTCCCATATTGTGTTAAGTCTTTTAACATTTCCTTTCACTTAGACATCATCTAATTGAACCACCACCAAACTCTCCAGTCTAGATGCCTAGAAATATGCCTATTACCACATGTCCGCATCCCTTCATTTATCAACAAGTTCCTCTGTAAACAAGATGTTTAGAACTCAATCAATACGACCCCAGAGGTCATTAAGGAGTTCTGTTGGCTTAGTGGTAAGGAATTGTATTGCCAGTGCAAAGTTATGTGGTTCAAATCCACCAACTGCTCTGAAGGAGAAAGATGGGCTGTCAAATCTTGTGAGATTTACTGCCTCTGAAAACCCACTGGAGGGTCAGGGCTGGGTTGGCTCCAACTTGCTGGTACATCACCACCACCACCACAGCAACAGAGGCCACTGTCTAGTCTGTTAGCATACTTTGGTTTCTTTTTCATTACGGGAGCCAGAATTTTAAAACTGTTGCAGGTTAAAATTATAGAGTCAACCCAGAGTGGGAACTGAAGGGAAATGGAAAGGTCAGAGGAAAGCCTTTCTTCCATATTCCAGTGGCTCCAGGTCAGTCAGGAGTGGGACCTTCACTTCCCTTTCTTCTTGGACCTTCTCTGAGTACATGCCACACATTTATGATACTGCTGCTAGAAGTGAATGGGACAGATACCTGGACCTGGGGTGACCAGGAGTGTATCGTACCAAGAAGAAAGGGCTAATCTCTTGTCCAGTCTCCTATATGTCCTCCCTGCTCTTGTCAGCACTGAGCAGGCCCAAGCTCACAACCATGTGAGGACCTCACTGATTCTTGAACACTCTTAGGGCTACACAGACCCACTTGGCTCATGGCCCCTTCCCCGGCTTTCTCCATCACAACAGCACAGGGCTTGAGGAGACTTAAGATGCCACCATGCTCAGTGTTTTCAAACTTTTATAAGCCATCACATGTTTAATTCAAACAAAACCCTCCCGAAAGACTCAAAAAACAAGTAAGTCAAACCAGGGTTATTCTTAATTGACGCTGGGTTAGGGGAATATAAACATTACATCACAGAAACATAACTGAGATTAGGGTGAGCTTCTAGATTCCTAAAACAATGTCTCCTCCCTACACTTCCTTTTGGGTACCCCAGAGATGTCCCATGGCTGGGAGAGCAGATGCCCACAGATCTGGCGCAACCCCTCATTCCACAGACACAGAGGTCCACATAGCGAGCCTACAAAAGGCAATGTGCATGAATGAAACACACAACATGTGAATGATTGTGTGCAATCCAATATAGCATTAAAAAACATGGACGAGAATTGCAGATAGTGCAACTACAACTGATGGAGAGAATTGTAGGGACAGAGAGTAAAAGTAGTGAATAAGAAGAAAAAAGTAGTAAATTCAGTAAAGCAGGCCTTCAAAGAGGCCCTCATTTCTCACCACCTCAGGCCCCGAGGAGTGCCTTTGAGAACTAGAGGAGGCACCTTCCTGGGGTCTGGGGTGATCATATGCAGAGCTCCTGGATCGGGCAGGGGAGGAAGGCCTGCATGCCAGCTCCCCATCCTCTACTTTCTGGGAGGGCCTCTGTACTGCATTATATGGCAGATTGTTCCAGTAAAGCAAGCTGATGTTTTAAAGTATAGACACAGCCCTTGGGTGCATGCAGGAGTCTGATTGAGATTCTAAATCAAGGGGTTGTTGTTGTTGTTATTATTATTATTATTATTATTATTTTGCATATAGAGCCAGGTCTAAGATAACTGTAGGGAGAGGGTAAAGAAATTGGGACATTAGTTCAGTAGGTGGTTATGTGAGCATTTCTGAGACTAACTGGAAACACTTCTTGTGTGCAGATCGCGCCCGCGTGCTGGGTGGCCTCCCTGATGTGGTCACCATCCAGGAGGGTAAGGTATGTACAGAAGCCCTGCTCCCCGTCTCCATCCTGCTCAAAAACAGGTGAAATATACTTGACTTTGTCTGCATTTTACCATACATGTAACTTCCCACTATTTTTACCTTTTTCTCCTCGTGTTTATAAGTTGATTTCAAGGTTAAAATTTCCATTTTCCAGTCATCTTGGTCTTTTTTACACTAAGCATTAGACAAATTTGCCTATAGGAATTAGATAGACCATAACTATCTTTACAGAGAACTCTGATGACTTAGTTGTAAGGAGTTGCACTGCCGACCCAAAGGCACATGTTTCAAATCCAAAAGGGAGAAAGATGGGTAATCTCCTCTCATGAAATTTAGTCAGCTATGAATAATTTCTGACCCAGTGGTACATAACACCAACAATGACTTTTCCAGTTTTACATTTTAAAATAATGAGAAGCTGGGGAAGGTCCATCACAATTATGTGACCAATACAATTGAAGAAAGACACAATGTCTAGTACAGAATAGAAACTGGATTGTAATACCAGCTCCTTTAGCCGTAAAGGAAATGGGGGTCAGTGTATTTTTCTGCAGGTTCTCTTCCGAGGAGAACAGATTTATTTCCATTTGAACTTAAACTGAAATTTCCTGGCTCCATGATAATCCCTCTGAAAATCAATGAATAGAATTTCTAACTTGGAGTCACTTTCTTCATGCCTATGTTTCCTTGAAACAAAATGTAATGTACCAGCCACAAAGGAATGGTATTTGCTGTGGGACAAAAACTTTCCCAGATCAGATGGGCAGTGATAGAATGCAATGGAAGATCAGAGCAAGACTAGTAAGGATTGCCCACATAAACACCTTACTGTTAGCTGGGCTTCATTCAGCTGCCATGTCTTCACGGGTGGAAAATATAACTACAATTGGCTGAGCTGCTTTTGTTTTAAAAACTATTTTCCATTTGTTCTTACTAAATGAGGTTATATATACTCAACTCAGTGGGTCTGTGTGTGAAATCACTTTGTGAATTCTTATTCAGAACATGATTTTCCATGACACATTTTTGTTTGGTTTTGGTCGAAGTTTTAACCCTCACATAACCATAGTTTCTTAAATCATACATCTAGTCTTCTTAGTAAATTTAATGATAATAATGAAACTCTTATTTTTCTTGTCAAAATATATTGTAGAATAATTAATAAGAAACGCCAATTAATGGTGGAAGGAAAACAAACCTCTTTATGTACCTAATTTTAAGTGGCATGCCACAGAAGAGCTAACAAGTGACCATATGATACTCAGAAAGGATACTCAGAGGACTAGTTCTTTTCCTTATAATTTCTGGATTTCAGTAAGAAAAAAAAATGCAAGAATGGAATTTAAAATATAAATTCAACATTACTAGGTATTGCCTTGTGGATATATCCACACATACATACGAAAGAACATTACTCAGCAATGAACTAGGATAGCCTGTCGATTTCTACAACTTGGATGAATGCCCTAGGAATTACAGAGTGAAAAACACTTTCGAGGTAGAGAACAAACTTGTAGATGCCAGAGGTTAAGAATGAGTTTGGAGAGGAGGAGATGTGGGTGTGATGATAAAATGGCAACAGGAAGGATCACTGTGGTCATGGAAATACTCCGTACCTTCACAAGCCTTCACAGGTGTCACACAAACATGCACCCACACACAGACACCCCCAGACACAGGTCACATACGCATACACACACACCAAACACAGGTCTCTCTCTCTCTCACACACACACACACACACCCCTAGACACAGGTCACATATGCACACATACACCAAATGAAGGTCACACACACATACATACACAACACACGCAGATACAGGTCACATACACACACGCAGACACAGGTCACATACACACACGCAGACAACAGGTCACACACATTGTCTAAATGCACATTAATAAATTTGAGAAATGCAAATAAGATCAGTGACCCTTTTCAATGTCAATGTCCTGCTTCTGCAAAATCTCACAAAATGGTATCCTTGGGCGAAATTGGGAAAGGAGACCCAAGAAGGACGTGACTGGTCGTATTAGTTCTTACAACTGCATGTGAACCTACGGTTACCTCACACATTTCAATCCAAAAAGTAAGCTAAAACCGTAGGCCTAAATATTGGTCTTCTAGAATAAGAAGGTCTGGCCAGATGGGAATATTTTATTTAGGTAAATATTTTAGTATTGCATCTCGAGGTTTGCAATTTGTTCTTCAGTTCTTTCAGTTTAAAAAATGCTGAGTGAGTTCAGCCCTTTTGCGACTACAGTTCTTTTCACATTGCATTATAACAACTATAAACATCTTACTAAGGCACCTTGGCAGCTAGACAAATTGGGTGGTATTTGGGGCACAGAATATGGAATTTGAAAATTTGTATATTATCTGGAACAGCTGTTAGGAATCTGCTGCTGGGCTCCGGGATGCAAATGAGATGCAAATGAAAGCAGGTGATGATGGCAACAATATTCTTTACTCAGAATCCACAAAGTCACAGTAAAGCCAGAGGTATCTCTGGTTTATGAGTAGAGAGAGACTGGAAATGAAACAAAGCACTCGCCTAGTCACTCATTTTTTTTAATGTATAATACAGTGATATTGATTACTTTCATTGTGCTGTGCAACTATTAACACTATCATTTTGTAAATTAGGAGCCCTCTTGCATTATAAACATTGGACACACTTAGCTTTTAATTGAAAGGTTAACAGTTCAAGTCCACCAAGAGACACCTCACAAGGAAAGCTTAACAGCCTATTTCAGAATAACTCGCCAATGAAAACATTATGTAACTCGACTTCACTCTGCCATGCCTGCAGTCAATTTTCATGGATTTGAAGGCACCTGATCTCCAAACGGAACTCTGGTGACGTAGTCTGTCCAGAGTTGAGCAGCTAACCCAAAGGCGGTACCTTTCAAATCCACCTGTTGCTCTGACGGAGAAAGACAGGCAGTCTCCTCTGCTGCAGTTTACAGCCTCCAGAAACCTACTGAAGGGTCAGCTAAGAATCAGCTCTGACTCAATGGCAATGAGTTTGAGTTCTCAAAGTTACTATTAACAGAAGCTCAGTGCACCCTAAACAACCCTGGCAACAACCTCCAGTCTCTGTAGAGTTCATGCAAGTAGGATGATGGAGCACTTGTTGACCTGCATGTCATTTACCTCCCTCCACATGTTTCTAAGGTTTGCCGCATGCTGGCATGCATCAGGACCTCGTCTCTCTTCATGATGGTTTTGCACTTTGCATATATACCACTCTGTTTATCCACTCATTTCTTGATGGACATTTAGGTTGTTTCCACCTTTGGGCCCTGTGAACAGTGCTGTGATGACATCAGTATATACATAGGTTCCTTCATATTTTTAACAATGGTACCACAACAGCCAGGAAGCCTTCACCCAAAGGAGAGCTACTCAGATTCAATTTAAAATTCAAACTCATGCAGCTGCGTAAAAATTATACTTTTAAGCTCTTGCTGTGATATTAGTGTTTATCCTCCATCTGATCATGTCAAGCTAGAAGATTGTTCCTCTTTTCTGATGAAAATATACACTACAAAGCCCATTCTCATTCAGCGGCTCCTAGGCAGCATGAGGGTAACACCGATATTGCAGTCTGCACGTTGCCATCAGTGGTTTCATTATTTCTGCTCTAGTTTTTTCACTCCCTTTGACTTACGCTCTTTGCCTCCCACCCTTTTCCTCTGTGCTTTAGAATAGATATCACCCATTCATTCTATTGTTGTTGTTGTTGTTATGTATGGTGGAGTCAGAACCAATTCACGGCTGATCCTCCAGCGAGTTTTCAGAGGCAGTAAATCACCACGCAGGAGCTTGCCCACCTTTCTTCCACAGTGTAGCTGGCGGATTCCAACCATGGGCCTTTGGGTTGGCAGCACAGTTCCTTATCATTAGGCTGCCAGAGCTCTCTACTCATTTTTAAAAAATTTTATTTTATTATTTTTTTGTGTGTGAACCATCAAATGGGATCTGACTGGTAAAGGAGGAGATTGTCCTGCCTTCTCCAGCAGAGCATCTGGTGGATTCGAACCATGCACCTCTGGGATTGCAGTGTAGCTTCTTGCCACTAGGCCACCAGAGCTCTCTTCTACTCATTCTTAAAAGAAGAATTTTTCAAAAGAACACACTCTTCAAGACTGATAGTTTTTACACGATGAATGCATTCTTGAGAGTGGATTGTCATTCCATATGCTGTACTCCTTCCCTCCCATAAACCTGCTTTTTCAATTGTGGTTTGAGGGAACTATTTACAGAGCAAATGAATTTCCCGTGGACTGTTCACACCCATTGTGTTCTCTGAGCTGAATCTCAGTACTCAGTGTAATCAGCCTTTTCCTTAACCATTTTTTAAGGCCCTCAATCTTACTTGCAATGTGTGGGGCGACCCCACCCCGGAGATCTCATGGCTGAAGAACGAGAAGGCCCTGGAGTCCGATGATCACTGCAACCTGCGCTTCGAGGCGGGTAAGACAGCGTTCTTCACCATCACGGGCGTGAGCAGCTCGGACTCCGGCAAGTACGGGCTGGTGGTGAAGAACAAGTATGGCACCGAGACCAGTGACTTCACCGTCAGCGTGTTCATCCCGGAGGAGGAGGCCCGGAAGGCGGCTGAGCCCCCCAAGGGGAACAAGAAGGCCAAGTGACAGTGCACAGACTGCGGCCCGGGAGAGCGGGGCCTGTGCGGAGGGCCTGGGTGGACTCCAGCCGAGGGCGGCTGAGGCTTGCTAACCCCTGCTTTTATATCTAGGTGGGGACAAATGGTTGAATCTTTTCTTTATATCTAAAAAAAAAAAGAAGTGGCATCTATTGGCAATATCTTAGTTATTTTCCCTTATCAGTAAATTATGTGTCAAGGCAATGCTAAGTGTTAGTAGCAAAAATATGAGGAAATGTTTTAAAGGGGAAAAGACCAGAATAAAGTTGGAGAGACACTGAGAGAAGGGAGAAGGTGTGGAGTTGAGTGTGGACTGAGTTAAGCATTGACCTGCATACATGGGTTGTGATCATACTTCAGCATCCCATCAAAACAGGCCCATGAGGTAGCCAGCCCTGTGCTGTTGGGACTGCTGTGTGTTTCAGTTGGTGTCTTGTAACTGGAAGCCTCCTTGGTGTTAATAAAAAGCTCACACCCCTTTCCTCTGCACCACCAGTATATCTCTCTTATTCTTTCTGCTCTTCTGCTCAAAGGAATGATTAATGCTCATTTCTCAACACTCCTTGTGCATGTCTTCTGGCTAAACTTCCTTTTGGTCAAAGCCCTCTACCTGCAAATTGGATTGGTAAGTCACCAGGTCCGTTCATTCACGGGTGTGAAACTTCAGTCACCACTTTTGTTATCAAACCAACCAAGCAAGCCGACTCCCCGTGTGCTCAGGAAACTGGATGGAATGTGTGGAGACAGTATAGTAAGACAGTGTGGGGTATCTGGTCCCAGAAGGTGCTGGTGAAGACCCCCCAGCTAAGGATGAAAGACATTAAAGAACCACATTCTAATGAAGGATAGCGTGAAACACAATGTATATGAACTATGTAAGCAGACCAATACAAAATAACTTAAAAAAAAAAAAGAACCACATTCTAAGTTCAGAGGATTGCCAACTTTAGGGGTGCCCCTCCCCTCAAAGAGGCAACCTCCCAGCATAAACAGGAAGCCCCATCCCCTTCCTCCTCCTAATCACACACACACATGAGCACACACCCACACTCCTTCACACATACAATCATACACATACACAGACACACAATCACCTAACGAGTTGGGGATGGAAAGGCTGCTCCTCTGTCTGTTGCTGGTTTTTGAGAACAGCAGAGTGCCTGGTGCTGCTGGGCACTGAGCACCAACAGGAACCAGATGGCCACTTCCACATGCACACTCATGCCAAGTGAGTGAGTCCAGTGGGCAGGCCTAGAGCTGGTTGTGGTATTGCCTCCACGCGGTGAAGGGACCGTTTCTAGGTTCACTGGACCCAGAAAAAAGGACTCCAGTGTGAACACTACTGAGGTAAGCCTAGGTGCAGGTGAGAGGTCAAGCAGGGGTCTCCCTCCCATGGCAGTGACACCCCAAGCCATTTATACTCTTAGCAGTTGCCATGAGTAGATGCTGACCCATGGTGACCCCATGTGCTGTCCAAGTAGAACTGTGTGCGCAGGGCTTTTAACAGCTGATTTGGGAGGAAGTTCAGGTAGTCCTTGATTCACTGCCTGTTTCCATTCCAATGATTCTGCCATCAGACAGTTCTGACCTAATTTGAATATCATTTCCCCCCCTAGTTCATTATTGTCTTTTATTATCAGTATCTTTATTATTCTGATCTTTATTTGCCTACAAGGTTGTCATGGAATGATTACATCAGCAAATTGCATGCTGCAACATTTTATGTACTAGATATTACTAACATAAGACTAAAACAAGCAAAAAAGGCAGTCCTAAGTGGTGTAGGCTAAGAGTATTGAACATACCATATACCGCCAAGTTTCTCCTTGGAGGCTAGGATTTTGAAACTCCATCTCACATACCTTGGGCAAGTAGCCAAGAGGGACTGATCCTTGGAGAAGGACATCATGCTTGGAAGGGTGGAGGGACAGCACAGCAGAGGAAGACTCGAGATGAGATGAATTGACACGGTAACTGAGGCTATGGGGGTTGGTATCTCAGAGTCAGTGAGACTGGCTCAGGACAGGGCAGGCTTCAGAGCTGTTGTACATAGGGTCATTATGAGTAGTGGGCAACTTGACAGCACATAACAACAAGAACCACAAGTGTAGTTCATCATAACTTGGATGTTATGAGTCAAGGGACTACATGTAGATCACAAGACCTTTCTTCTTGGTACTTTTGGATAAATTTTAACTGCCAAACTTTCAGCTGGCACCTAAATAAAAGAATCACCACTTAGGGACTCACAAGCCCCATGAAACTCTCAGATATCTCAAAGGCCCCATCATAGAAAACCAGAGCGGAGTTCTCAGGGCTGGAGAAGGAGGGGGAATGAAGTATGTAGGGACAGGACCTTCCACTCCAGGCACTGGCCTCAAACTGGGAGGAGACATAAAGTACATTGAGTCAGATGAAATTCTAAAACAAATAGCATGCCCTGAATTCTGAAACAGCATAAAAACTTGTGAAATCAAACTGTCCTGTTCAAATACCCATGCCACTTGTCAGGGATAGATGGAGAGGGCATAGTTGGTGGCAGCTGGAGAAAGAACTAACTCTCTGTAATCGTAGCTCTATAAGCTGAGATTTCTCAATGAAATGATTACAAGTATTAATTCAACTATTGTAAAGACCTTGTATATTTTTTAAAAATTCTACAGGGAAGAATATAAACAAAACTATGGATCTAACAGAGAGCTCTAGTGGCCTACTAGTAAGGAGTGGCACTGCCAACCCAAAGGCTGTTGGTTCTAATCCAACAGCTGCTCTGGGGAGAAGGTTCTACAATCTCCTCTCAAGCTATTTACAGTTCTGAGGGACAGCTCTAAGTTGATTCTGATTCAATAACACATACCAACAACAACATGCATCTACCGCTTCAACTTAGTTGAAGATGTCTATATAATGCGTAAGAATCCAGGACTCTCTAACTTATTAACTGGGAGCCACTGGTGCTCAGAGACCATGTTGGAGCTCCATAAGGATTTGGCATAATTGTTTTCATTTAATAAAAGCTAACACTCAGTGCAACAAAAGGACAAAGTAAGAAAAAACAGACCTTAGTATTTTCAACAGAATCCATAGACACCTGATGATCAAAAGGAAGAAAATGCAGAATAGATTCTAAATTTCTCATGAACTTGAGACTTTCTGGAGCCTTAATGATTAGATGAGTCCCTGAAACTATGGCTCTATTTAAGATTTCTTGTGACTTTAAACTAAAATCATTTCCTGAAATCCTCTTAAAATGAAACAAAAGTTTAACTTAACAAGTGAAAAGGTGAAGAGTAATGGTGTCTCTCTGGAGACTAAGGTGCATCTGATACAGGCCATGGTCTTTGCAATCATTTGTTATACATCAGAAAGTTGGACAATGACTAAGGAGGATAGAAGGAGAAGTGATGCCTTTGAGCTGTGGTACTGGAGAAGAGTATTGACTGTACCATGGACTACTAGGAAAATAAACAGACTCATCCTGGAGAGGGTTAAACTGGATGGCTCCTTGGAGGCAAGGATTCTGAGGCTTCGTCTAACATACTTTGGACATGTTGTAAGGAGGGACGGGTCCTTGGAAAGGGACATCATGTTTGGGAGGGTAGAGGGACAGCACAGGAGAGGAAGGCCATCTCTGAGGTGGACTGATTCAGTGACTGGGGTAATCAGGATGGATGTGTTGGAGACAGTGCAATTGGCACAGGACAGAACAGTTTAGGGCTGTTGTACATAGGGGTCGCTATGAGTCGCAAGCGACTCTACGGTAGGTACATAACAACAACAAGTGAAAAGGTCTGTCCTGAACATTATATTCTTCAAGTACTGGCTTTGATAGGATATCAAATCTTGTAGAAGATTACAAGAACTTCAGAAAGCAGAACACTCAGGAAAGGATGAGAATGGTTACCCTACTCAAAAAAGTTAATCAGTGTCATTAAATGGTACATGTGAAAACTATTGGATTGGAATATGTTTTGCTGTGTATATTCTTAACAACAAAATAACATTTTTTTAACCCCCAAACTTAAAGATCTGGTGTGAAAAAAATGTATATGAACTTTGTAAGTAAACCAGTATACAATTTTTAAAAAAACAACTTAGATGATCCTAACTCTTTGAAGTTAGATTCTAAAATCTTTTTTTTCTATTTTATAAATATGGCCATTAAAAAGTTAATTTTAAGGATACTCTTACGCTGTTATCATGAGGTGATATCAAGTCAGTTCCGATTCATGGTGACCCCAGGCCAGCGGACAAGGCCCCGGCTTGTCCTGTTCCTTCCTCACAACCCCCCTTGTGCTAACGCCCATTGTTGCAGTCATGATGTCAGTCCAGCTCCTTGAGGGGCTTTCTCTTCTTCACTGACCCTCTACTTTACCAAAAATGCTAAGCCCTTCTCCAAGGATGGTCCCTTCTGATAAACTGTCCAAAGGGTATGAGACTTCATCTTCCATTCTGGAAACATTCCGGAAGCTAAGGAGAATTCTGACTGCACTCCTAAGATAGTTCGTTCTTCTGGCATTCTAAGTGCATTTAGTGTCTTTAGTATCCTTCTCCAACAGGGGCGTTAATTCTTCGATTTTCCTTATTCATTGTCCAGCTTTGCATACAGAAGAGGAGACTAAAAACATCATGACTTAGGACAACCAAACCTTGTCCTCAAAGTGTTATCTTTGTTTTTCAACACTTTAAAGAGGTATGTTGAATTGCTGTGGTGGTGTAAGGAGTTGTGCTGTTAATCCAAAGGCTGTACCTCTTTGACAGTTCAAATCCACCAATGCCTCTAAGGGAGAAAGATGGGCAAAATTCCTGTGTTGTTTACAGCCTCTGAAAACCTGGGGGAGGGTCAGTGATGGGTCCATTCAGCTCTCTCCCTTGCAGCCGTTGGCAGATCTGAACCACGCCAGAGAGGTGGCACCTTTGTATTACCAGTGGAACTCTGTCCTGATAATGCCACCAGAGGTTCCCAAGAACACTGTTGGGTGATTTAAA